AGGAGGAGGAGGAGGAGAGGAAGAAGAAGGAGGAGAAGGAGGAGGAGAAGGAGGAGGAGGGGAAGGAGGAGGAGGAGGAGAATAATGAGGAGGAGGAGAAGGAGGAGGAGGAGAAGAAGAAGGAGGAGGAGAAGAAGGAGGAGGAGGAGAGGAAGAAGAGGAGCATATTTATGTGTATAGTTGTAAAGAGAGGGGCAGACATGAAAAGTAAACAAATTAAATGCAGAATCACAAGAAAGAAACATATTCACATGTTTTCATTCCAAGTATGTCCCGAGTTTCGCACTATTGTGTACATTCAGCCATTAATATATAAATAACTTACATCTGAAATAAGCTGCTTTCTGCGGTGACACTGGGAAGCCAGGTGTTTATGTTGCTCTACGTCTGCTATATCCGAGTTCTCCCAAGTAGATTGAGCCTTCTGTTTGTTCTCGAAAATCAAAATCAGCTCTGACCTGCACAGAGTACGATGGTTAGAATCAGAAAGATGGGTGTACATGAAAGTATTGGAACTTAATAAGAACATTTCTATTTGTAATTCGTGTCACAGTAAATTTATAGACCCAGTATCAAAAATATTGTTCCATATTTCAGAGCACAAATCCCTTCAACTCAATTTTATTGACAATTTTACTCTCTCATTGCATTTAAAACACTTAAAACATCTGCAAGACCTATTCGTTATTTGGAAACTCTTTTTGAATTCAGTTCAAGTTACATGACGTCTTAAATACATTAGTTACTGCATTTAACTTCAGCACGTAACAAACAAGCATTCATGTCCTTACTTAAAAACTACAAATAAAACTAATCGTGAATACTTAATAATAGTGGCCTTCCATCCACAATGGATGTAATAATTACCATGAGTTGTGTTCCCCTTGTTTATGCATTAATTTATTTTTATTTATAAAATCATCACTGGCTGTAGAAATCTTCTTAATAAATGTAGTACAAAACATATATTTTAAGTCTGCCATAAATATGCCACTAATTTTCACTATTTTAGACAGTATATTCTCTTAATTCTCATTAATTTTAAAACACATCTCAGTAGTCTTCAATAATTTCATAATTTCACGTAAAAATATACAGCGCATTTGAAATACGAAGTAAAAAGTGTTGGTATTTGCAACAGAAGTTTTGATTTCTCGATTTTAAATCTTCATATATGCAATGAAAAACTCCTAGCAGAAGAAATGTAATATAAATTCTTAAATTTATAGATTGATTTTTTTTGATAACGTAAAATAATGTCACAAATTTATTTTAATAGGTAAAAATAAAAATTATTATTTATCTGGAAAAAAATTGCTTAATTAAATTAATGTCTGAACGAGTAACAAAATTATTTATAAGTTGTCATCATTATTAATTATCGTGACCATCTTAAACTGTGGTATATGAAATAGCTCTGGATTTATTACAGCCCATAATGTAACCTGTCCATAAATAAAAGATATTACTTTTTGGAAGTTACGTCTTTGTAGCTTATAACTAATGGATAAGTCCGATACCCCCTTATAACACCATAAGAACATAATGAACACTTACACCCTACGGTACGCAGTATTTGCAACATCAACTGTACTCTCGCTGGTGTAGTTTTTGCCATCATCCTGCACATAAGAGACGTGGACGTTCACTAAACTCAACACTGAAAACTGTACAGCTTAAAAACAAAGTATTTTGCAAATTAACATTTTTATTGAAGACACAAAATACGTACAAGGATCATTACGTGTCTGTTTCCATAAATGTAAGGTTAGGAAACTCCACACTCTATCTTAGATGGTAAGTAACGGAAAAGTATTAACACACTAAAATCTTTTATTTCGTATGTCATAAAATGGTCAAGGCATTTTTTTTCCTTGCGAGTTTAATCATATATGAGCAGAAGTCCCTTACAGTTACAGGCAAAGACAATTTTAAAATAAAATAAGGTCCTATGTATGTACCTTTCCATATAGGATCACACAGTCTTTCCAAATCATGCTTCGCTTTAAATGGAATTTATTTATTAAAATACTTGAGATATATATTATTTGAAGTTACTGAACACAGCTCTCTACCCTAGCAAAGGTGAGATTATTAATGCCAGTAACAGCTGTTGAAATTTCCTTCTTCAGGTTTGTAGGAATTCTATCCATTAACACCATCCCTTAACATCTGTCTGAAGAGAATTTTCATGGCAGTGAGTCCAAAGATGGCCGTCTTCTGAGTACCTTATAGTCTGGTCAAAGTTTCAGAGGTCCTAGTGGTTGGTAAACTTCTACCAGACTACACAGCGCAACAACCCAGAAGACAGACGTCATCCATTAGAAGAAATAACATCAGTTGAGATCTGAAAACATTCAGCACTCCTTTTGGTGTAGTTGAATCCAATTCTGTTAGAAATATTTTCTTGAAAATGACACCCACACCTAACAGGAATGTATAAAAAAATATATTTTGGGGAACAGAGATAATGATCAGCTTTCGTATTACATTTGACGAAAGCTAATCTAGAAAAACCACGAGCTCAAACAGTGAAATTCTGCAGACTTTTTTGTAACTGTGTTTCTATTGTAACATACGGATTGTCTGTCGCCCAAACATTCATATTCTACACCTAAGTACTTTGTGCTTTCATCAATTTAATTTTCTTTTACGCTGGATTTGAAATTTTTCACAGTGGCTAGTCTGAAGATTGCCGTCTTCTGGGTTGAAACGTTGGTGGAAATCTACCAGACTACACAGCGCAAGAACCCAGAAGACAGAAATCTTCAAACTAATGCATCGCCCTGATGATGGAGGCAGTATGACCTCCGAAACGTTGGATAACATCGACCAGACTATACAGCGCAACAACCCAGAAGACAGAAATCTTCAAACTAATGCATCGCCCTGATGATGGAGGCAGTATGACCTCCGAAACGTTGGATAACATCGACCAGACTATACAGCGCAACAACCCAGAAGACAGAAATCTTCAAACTAATGCATCGCCCTGATGATGGAGGCAGTATGACCTCCGAAACGTTGGATAACATCGACCAGACTATACAGCGCAACAACCCAGAAGACAGAAATCTTCAAACTAATGCATCGCCCTGATGATGGAGGCAGTATGACCTCCGAAACGTTGGATAACATCGACCAGACTATACAGCGCAACAACCCAGAAGACAGAAATCTTCAAACTAATGCATCGCCCTGATGATGGAGGCAGTATGACCTCCGAAACGTTGGATAACATCGACCAGACTATACAGCGCAACAACCCAGAAGACAGAAATCTTCAAACTAATGCATCGCCCTGATGATGGAGGCAGTATGACCTCCGAAACGTTGGATAACATCGACCAGACTATACAGCGCAACAACCCAGAAGACAGAAATCTTCAAACTAATGCATCGCCCTGATGATGGAGGCAGTATGACCTCCGAAACGTTGGATAACATCGACCAGACTATACAGCGCAACAACCCAGAAGACAGAAATCTTCAAACTAATGCATCGCCCTGATGATGGAGGCAGTATGACCTCCGAAACGTTGGATAACATCGACCAGACTATACAGCGCAACAACCCAGAAGACAGAAATCTTCAAACTAATGCATCGCCCTGATGATGGAGGCAGTATGACCTCCGAAACGTTGGATAACATCGACCAGACTATACAGCGCAACAACCCAGAAGACAGAAATCTTCAAACTAATGCATCGCCCTGATGATGGAGGCAGTATGACCTCCGAAACGTTGGATAACATCGACCAGACTATACAGCGCAACAACCCAGAAGACAGAAATCTTCAAACTAATGCATCGCCCTGATGATGGAGGCAGTATGACCTCCGAAACGTTGGATAACATCGACCAGACTATACAGCGCAACAACCCAGAAGACAGAAATCTTCAAACTAATGCATCGCCCTGATGATGGAGGCAGTATGACCTCCGAAACGTTGGATAACATCGACCAGACTATACAGCGCAACAACCCAGAAGACAGAAATCTTCAAACTAATGCATCGCCCTGATGATGGAGGCAGTATGACCTCCGAAACGTTGGATAACATCGACCAGACTATACAGCGCAACAACCCAGAAGACAGAAATCTTCTCATTTTTTTTTTTTAAATTTCATTTTCAGTTGTGTTTCCTATGTGCTGTTTTATGCTACCAGCCATAATTACGTCTGCAGTGACATTCAAAATGTTATCTATATTGGCAAATCAGCGTTACTGAAATTCACTTCACTTACTCTTGTCTAAACTGGATGTTTTCTTCTAAGAGGTTTTGGAGTTCATTCTCTTGTTCATGAATCTGTTTCTCAAGACGTTTGATTCCATCCGTCAGACCTCGTATTTGCGTCTGTGATTGCAATCTCATTTGCATAATCTCTTCCCATAGGCTTCGAAATTTGTACTCTACAGTGTCCTCAGCTTCATTTGATATGCCCTGTGAAACATTATTAAAGATAAAACTCTGTACAGGTGTCTGGAAAAGTTCCCTGATCAGATAGTATTTACTGCACAAGGAATAAATTTATACAGAATTAATTTATATAATTCATTATTCTAATTTATGTGCGGTATATTTAATGATGATGTAAATAATTTATATTATGCACAATTTCCATCACTTACAGTGAATATTTCACGTATACATTCAGAAGAGTACTTATAAGTCAAATATATATAACAGCTTAATCATTTTGCGTGATCTATAAGAAGTTGAAGCTGGTAGAAATAATCAGAAAAGAAGGTTTATTTTATAATGTTTTACCATTTATATTGAAGCAATAACTTATTATAATAATTATCCAAAATAGTCTTAGTCAAATTAACTGTTTCACAGTGTTTATCAAAACAATTCCTTATTCTCAAAATGGAGATCGTATTCCCTTAAGTAAATTCTTACTCTCAGTTAGCTATAAAAACTTTGAAGATTTTGTTTCATAGACAGATTTTATGTGCCCCCACACATAATTATGCAAAAGAGGCATATCCAGCGATCTCTGTGACCTTTGACCCTTCCAGCCAATCCAATGACCTTTAAATTACTGGTTCCTAAACTCTCAGGACTTAAAAAAACCCTTTACCCTGCCACCAGTGAATTATAGATTTTAAGATAAAAATTTCTCCTTGTAACATTTTTGAACATAACGTATAATTAATTAAATACACAGAAAAATAATATATGTCTCCCTACAGCTGTTTTTGGTTTTCAAGCTATATAGCTATATGTGCAATATGTGAACAGAAGACCAATGAGGCATACAAAACCATTAACAGAGCATTTGGAAAATGAGGCAGAATTATTTTTCTTCTCCTTGTTTCAAGTGAAAGTGTAGAACCATTCCACTGCTAGGCCACGAGAGTTCACAGACCTCTACCTCGGTGCCAGCCGAACTTATGCATATGTTAACCTAATTTAGGGCCTCGTGATACGACGAGCTTAAAAAATGTATTATAAATGTTGGTTCTTGTGGGTTATCGGGACACATCGCTTTAAAAATAGGTTAAGTTAGGTTAGCTTAGGTTAGGTTATGTTAGCGTAGGTTAGGTTAGGTTATGTTAGCTTAGGTTAGGTTATGTTAGCGTAGGTTAGGTTAAGTTATGTTAGCTTAGGTTAGGTTATGTTAGCTTAGGTTAGGTTATGTTAGCGTAGGTTAGGTTAAGTTAGGTTAGGTTATGTTAGCTTTGGTTAGGTTATGTTAGCGTAGGTTAGGTTAAGTTAGGTTAGGTTATGTTAGCTTTGGTTAGGTTATGTTAGCGTAGGTTATGTTAGGTTAGGTTAATGTGTGTGGATAAATGACATATACTTGAAAGTTATTTTATTTTATTTCAATAAATGACAACTAAACTAACATAACCTAACCTATTTTTAAAGCGATGTGTCTCGATAACCCACACGTAACTAAATCTTAATGTATAGTTTGACAGTATAATTCTTTCATTCACATCATTTTCATGTTTATTTTTCATTGGACCCTTCAGTCACAATAATAAATGTATATTTTGACTTCCAAATTTTTGGGCCTCCTAAACTAAATGTATCTTAGGCCCTCAGAAGGTAATAGTGAACACAGAGAACTCACCGTATTTATGTGCAATGATCCACGATTCATTTTAATCCCTGAAATTAATAGTTAGACACACAACACAACAAAATTAAAGAATAATTCGCAGAGTAATTATCTCACAGAAGGATGGAGTGTCTCTTCAACAGAAACTGCTTATAACTTCAATTAAATATGACAGGTAACAAAAATAATGTTTCTTTCAACAGTGCTGTAACTTTGACATCAAAGTTTTACTTAATCGTTCTCTGGTGAAATCTGTAGCAGACAAACAAATGATAAAGCGTAAGATGAAACATCTTGAGGTTTAAACTGAAATCCGTACACTGACACAGATAAAAGTAGACTTTCATTCTCAATGTCTGCTAAGAATCACGTAGCCACTCCTACAAATATGGCGCAATTAGACATAGATAAGTGATAACAGAACAAGGCTCTTCAATTACACGTTTTGGCAGCCACAGGAAATGACAATGAATAATGTAGCATTTCTTACGCAAATACATATTCTTTTCCTTCATACTGATATATAGGTTAGGTTCTTTAATAATGCTGTTTCAACTGATTGAGACTGGAAGAAATCTGCTGTGTTCTGTATTAAGCCATTTTCGGTATTTCATTTTAATTGCATATCTTGAGAACTGGTTACACGGTGGTCTAGCGGTCAGAACGCTGGCCTTGTAATCCTGGGGGTCTCGGGTTCGATTGCCGGCGGTGCCCGAATTTATAACTTGTGTTGGGCAAGGCCGTGGCCTAGGCAACACGGAGTTTTCCTCCGTGGCATCCCAACAATTACTCCAGTCACACACAGAAGAAGGCAATGGCAAACCACTTCTGGATCATCTGCCAAGAACGTATATGAACAGGTCCCAGTCCGAGAAAAGGATGGAAGGATCCTGTTCATATGGACCTGTCGTCAGACAGAACACTACAAATAATAAATAAAAAAATCTTGAGAACAGTTTCCCACAGACATTTATTTAGAAATTAAAGTAGCTTTTTCAAAACTACTTTATAAACGTGTGGTAACTCTTCTTTCAGACCAGCCCAGAAGTCAATCAGATGAATATTTGAGTCTGTCTCCGTTAAAA